CTTTATTATGGTATAGTATTTAAATATATAGATACTTTATTATGGTATAGTATTTAAATATATAGATACTTTATTATGGTATAGTATTTAAATATATGCCTGAGAAACACATAATATTGGTCCTTTAAATTTGCTCCAAAGCTGCAGCTCAGTCAGACTGGATGGAGAGCGTCTGTGAGCAGTTTTCACGTCTCACCACAGACTCACAGGTGGATTCAGGTCTGGACTTGGACTGGTCCAGTCTCTTTGATCTGRTGGAGRTCTGGTTGGATGTTTTGGCTCGTTGTTCTGCCTGAAGGTGAACCTCCTCAGTCTCCAGTCTTCTGCAGCCTCCAACAGGTTTTCTTCCAGGATGGTCCTGGTTTTAGCTCCGCCCATCATCCCATCAGCTCTGAGCAGCCTCCCTGTCCCCACAGCATGATGCTGCCACCACCATGTTTCACAGCGGACATGCTGTGTTCAGGCTGACAAGGACTTTTTCTCACCTCTTACCACCTCACAGAACATCTGGATTAACACAGATTAAACTACACACAGGCAGACTGAAGCCAGTTTGTCTGGGTTTATTTAGAAGTATCAGAGTAAAGGGGGTGAATACTAATGCACATCCTTCAGTATTTCTTGCAGGAAGTTCTGAAAGCCAAACAACACTTTCCTCCCACTTCACCATTACACACAACTGTTTGTTGGTTTGTCGCATGAAATCCCAGAAAAACACTTTGAGGTTTGTGGCTGTCGTGACCAAAAAAAAACAAACAAAAGTTCAAGGGTGTGAAACCTTTTTCCAAGGCGCTGTTTAACATCTGTGCCAAAAGTCCTGATGTGCATGTTTACTTGAGTAAGGCGGTCACTGTGATGTGACCAGTTGTAGCTCACAGTGTTGTCACAGATACAAGAGTGGGCCACAAGAAGGGTTCAGACAAAACCATCTGAACAGCTTCTTTTCATGTTTTGATCCATTTCATTGCACAGGTTTGGCTTGGTCCCATTCAWTACAGTGTTTTCCTGCATTCAATGTAAACAACAAACAAGATGAAGAAAACATTTCTGCTTGAGCTTGGCTGATTCTGCAGTCTCTCTTATCCGCACACAAAAGGTCCTCAACGCTCGGAAAAGAGAGATTTTGAATGATTGGCGCTCCCATGGAAGTGATTAATGCATGTTGGGCCATAAAGACCATTTCTGACTGGACTGAGACTGTTGGAGAAAAACTGGGAAGCCCAGAGATATTTTGGAGACTTCCTTATTATATGAATATTGTTTGCCAGCTAGTCAACAACAGCCGCAGCACAGTCGGATACTAGAGACTAGATACCGCACGCGGTAACATAATGACCCCCGTATGCACAAATGCACCAGCACTCAGAAGTCTTTATTCCTAATAAATGTCATGCTACTAGGAGGTGGGGTGCCCATTGGTGGGCCTGATGGATAGCCCCTCATGAGAGCTAAACAACCAAAGAAAATCTGAAGCTCCTATGTTTAATAGTTTTTGAGCAATAACCATTTTTTATGTCCAGATACCACTTCTTCAGATAAATTGGGGGTCGGGGCACTGATTGATTTCCTGTCCTCCAACCAGCCGGTCGAGGCAGATGGTCTCCTGTCCTGAGCCTGGTTCTGCTGGAGGTTTCTTCCTGATTAGCAGGGAGTTTTTCCTCTCCACCGTTTGCTCAGGATGGGAGACTGTGATGAAGTGATTCAACACAATCTGCTGGTTTCTTCTTTACATTGTTCTTTTTATCTACAGTGTCCTGAGACAACGTATGTTGTGACTTGGCGCTATATAAATAAACTGAATTGAATTGATTGGTGGGCCTGATGGATAGAGCTTCATCACAGCTAAACAACAAATGAAATCTGAAGCTCCTATGTTGAACAGTTTGAGTTATAAGCATTTTTGTTTGTCCAGACACCCCCTCTTTGAAAGGAGCCCCCTCCTCAAACATGGGGTCTAACATAAAACTGTTGGCTGGTGCAGTGTAGGTCAGACTCATCTACAGTCCTGACAAATTTCATGTTGATTGGTGCAGCTGTTTTTGTGCTACAGCTGACCAAAACTCACTGAAAAAAAAACAGTACGAAAACAATATGACTCCCGCTTACGCTTCGCATGCAGGGGTCGTAAACCTTTAGAGAAACCTTAAATACTTCCAGTCACATGTGTTCCCCTGCTGAGTGACAAAAAATCTGACGTATTTTTCCTGACAAGAGTATAAACGTGCTGGAGATGTAGTGGCAGGACATAAATGATCGTAGCTCATGTAAGTTTATAAACAACAATAATGATGACTGGTTATTGTGTTTTTATCACTCAGTGATCAGTGTTGTGTTGGGTGAAGAGTCTGCAGAGGAAAACCTTTGAGTCCTGCTCTGGACCTCTGCTTGCTCCTGAAGAACAAACACACCCACAAAGTTCCGACCAATCACACGCTCRGAGCCGCAAGGTCCACATCTCAGAGTTGGAGGCAATGCTCACGACTGCTGTTACCGGGGGATAYCAGCAGGAGAGCKGACAGAAGTTACACAGTTTTTGTCACTCAGCAGGGGGAAGGTGCGCGACTCGACGTATAAAACAAACTTGACTCTGTGCAGATCAAGCTGCAAGCAGGAAATGTTGAATTAAACAGATGAGGATTGTCTGTTTAATTCAACATTTAAATTTAAATCTCTGCTACAGCTGAGACTGGATTAAAACTCTTAGGAATGACTTTATGTATTAAAACACCAGGTGTTTCTTCACCAAAAAAATACATCATGGTAACATTTGGCAGCAATGGCTCCATGAATTCCGTGATCTAAACTGCATAACAGACGGGTTTGTATTGTGAAGTGATTGTTATTCACCTGAAGTGATTGGACTTCAGAGGTCAGGTGGAAAACTTTGGTTGTTGGTTTGTTTTTAAGGTAAACTAGGGAGACTATAACAGTCACTGCCCACTGGAGGTGAAACTGTAAATCCATTGCTGAGCATCAAAAACTTGACATAAAAAAACACCTGATGGGATCAAAATTCKTGCAGCCACAGTTTAGTGAAGCGGTCCGAACTGAACAGTGGCACGTCAGTAGTCTGAGTGAAGAATACAAACACACAACTCTCTTGGCTGAAAGAAAATTAAAAAGGTTAAGATGATTGGATCATCATCCATCCACACTCCTTCCACAAAAAGGACGCAGCAACATTAATAAGCAGAAAAAACAAACACATAAAGGCATTAAGAAGCGTTCACTACAAAATAATGCAGGGTTTTTTGTCCTTGAAGGGATTGTCTGAGGTGGGGATGCCCACAAGGAGAGGGTCGGTTCTGGCATGCTCGTGGCAGTAGTTCATAAGGTCTGCAGAGGCTTTGGACACCTGGAAGAACAATCAGCCACAGATACATGCTTTGAGAAACATCTTTGGTAGATTTATACAAGTTTTCTGCTATGATCAATAAATCACATGAGCATTAGGGATGGGCGATAGGGACTAAAATATTTATCATGATAATTTAAAGGTTTTATCACAATAACAATAAGTGACGATAATATATACAGTGTATATATACTTGTAAAATATCAGTAATATAAAAAAAATAAAACCATGAGAAAAGACTTTTTACTAATCACTGAAAATGATAAGTTTTGCTGCTCTGGGAAGTAAAGCTATAATATCTGTTCCCTAAAGGGTTAATGTTCAGGGGAGGGAGGGGCTAGTTGTGTGAGTGGAGAGAGACGAGCTGCGCTGCTGCAGCTTGTGGCTGAGACAGAGAGGAGACGGAGGCGCTGTGTTGTTTTTGTGGGTCCAGCAAGTTGAAGCTGCCCCGTCCTGTTATTTTTATAACGTATTGTTGAACTCTTAAGAGTTTTTGGATTACTATGACTGCGTTTTTGCACGCTGACAGTCATTAAGATAGCATTTTAGCTTAATTAATTTAGCACGTGCTCTGCGCGTTGACGTTCGCTCTGAGTAAACAAACAAAGCTTAACCTGGTGAGGAARCATGTAAAGCCTGGCAGCACGCAGTGGGATTTTATCGTTTTTATTGTGAGATGACAAATTATTACCATAATGAATGTCTTAGATGGTACAGTARATCACACACAATAACATATCATCCATCCCTAATGATCATTTTAAACAGGACCACTGTAAATACAAATACCTGTGAAAACCATCTTCCTTTGGTTATGTGCAAAAACATTGATCCAAATATAGACCTGTCATTGTTGTACTTTGTAAAAGGATTTGATATGAATGAATAAAATGTTAATTAAAGTGTCACACACACGTGTGCACAGCACATACATTAACTGGAAACACATTTATCAATACAAAGTATTGATTTCAACACACAATGTTGTTTGTCTAACCACACATCACCTCTATAAATCTTACCAACACTTTCTTTTTGACAAGCCAATTGAACATATCACACACCTCCAACCACCAAAATCAATCAGGATTTCTACACTGGATCTTTTTTAAATATAGACATTCTCAAATCCTTATACAATGGACAATAAAAAACTAAACAAAACTCATTTTAACTGTGCATGAATAACACTTTACACACAAATGTTGRTCTTCCAAAACCTCTTTGTATCACCCCACCTGAACTGACCTTTGACTACATCACATTTAACACAAAGCTCTGTGTCAAACTGAACAGAACTTCAGTTTGTTGCAGTGAGCACATCTAGTTTGCACTGGTCTTTGTACACCTGTCTGACAACTATCTGTAGACATATAAATTACTTGTTGATGACATAAGAAATCAGTATTTGGGATTAAAGAAATTTAAACTCTCTCTTTCCTGTCCCCTCAAACACATGGTTCTGCCCACGTATTGCATCATCACGTAGGGTGTARGTGATGATGTCATTTGTTAAAAATCTAACTGCTCTTTTGGATGGCTCAATGCTCGTTAAGATCCAAAATCCTTTAAAGAGCCATTTATCCCATCTCTTATAAAAACCTTCCCAATCACTTGACAATTATGTTTATATTTTTCTTTTAAAATAATAAAACAGTTTGAGACACGACCTGAACAAAGACGTTCTTTATGATAATGTTGAGCTACCGAGTACAAAATAGCATACATTTTATTAACCTTAATGTACTTAAGGTAAGATGGAACAACCCACAAAAATGGCATGTGTTAAAGCWATGAAATGAGTCTAACAGTGAAGCAACAAGGTGAACTCAGATCATCATGATGTTACAGTTCATGGTTCCATCGTACCTTTATCCTCTCACGGCTCGCCTCCATTCTCAACTGCTGCACCATCCGCCGGGCGTGGTTGATGTTATTGGAGCTGTGAAGCTTCGAAGACATCCTGGGCAGCTCACAACTGGAATAAAAACGGAAAAAAAAGCTTGAGTATGCAGACGACACACAGAGGGTTTTACATGTCACTCAAAACTTTAATGAGGCAAACACAAAGTACAAAAAAGATGCAAAAACCAAGATCTCAAAACAGAAAAAAATGATACATTCAAATATTTGTAGGACTTGCATCAATAAAGTCAGAAAGAGACCCCTAAAACTTAGACAAGCTGGAAATGCACATAAGAATGGCCGTATTTGCTTTAGATCTGGACACACCTGGATGGGATTCTCTGGATGATCTAACAGGACCTTCAGACACAAGCTGGCCCATCGTCAGGACAGAACCACCAAACTCAACCTGCTGTGGTGTCTGCAGTTCAGTGAATTGAGGAAAGTAGAACCTATACAAGCCTGGCTCAACACAGGAGAGCAGCTCTTCAGGACCAGCCTCAGCTGTGGACCTACACATCCAGGATAAAGGACACTGCTGAGGACCAACGTGTCATACCTTTTAGATAGAGAAGACAGTGAGGGTGAAGGACGATATTTATGTCAAATAGAAAAAAATTACTACTTTAAACAGAGGASGAGMTCTCAGTTTTCAMCAKTGAGCCTGATACCCAGTCAGATTCACTCCAGTTCCCACATTCATGCAAAAAACGTCTTGTGTTCCAGGCCAACAAAGACCTTATTAGCTGTGTTTCCATTACAAATGTGNATCTCTGCTTTTTGTGGATGATGTGGTCCTGTTGGCTTCATCAGATCCTGATCTCCAGCTCTCACTGGAGCGGTTCACAGCTGAGTGTGAAGCAGCCGGGATGAGGATTAGTGCCTCCAAATCCAAGACCATGGTCTTGAGTCGGAAAACAGTAGCGTGCCACCTCCGGGTCGGGGAGGAGGTCCTGCCCCAAGTGGAGGAGTTTAAGTATATTGTGGTCTTGTTCATGAATGAGGGAAGAATGGAGCAGGAGATCGACAGGCGGATTGGTGCTGCGTCTGCAGTGATGTGGGCGTTGTACCGGTCTGTCGTGGTGAAGAGAGCTGAGCCAGAAGGTGAAGCTCTCAGTCGGTCGGTCTACGTTCCTACCCTCATCTATGGTCAGGAGCTTTGGGTAGTGACTGAAAGAASGAGCTCTCAGATKCAAGKAGCTGAAATGAGTTTCCTCTGCAGGGTGTCTGGGCTCTCRCTTAGAGATAGGCTGAGAAGCTCAGTCATCCAGGAGGGACTCAGAGTAGAGCCGCTGCTCCTCCACGTCSAGAGGAGCCAGTTGAGGTGGTTCATCTGGTTAGGATGCCTCCTGGACTCCTCCCTGGTGAGGTGTTCTGGACACGTCKCACTGGGAGGAGACCCAGAGGAAGACCCAGYACYCYCTGGAGGGACTATGTCTCTCAGCTGGTCTGGGAACACCTTGGAGTTCCCCCAGAGGAGCTGGTCCAAGTGGCTGGAGAGAGGGTCTCTCTGCTGCTGCCCCCGCGACCCGACCCCAGATAAGTGGCAGAAAACAGACGGACAGACTTGTTGCTTCGTTTTCTCCMTTCACTCCACATCATTCCTTTTTATGTTGAAGCCGTTCTGAGGCGCGGTGCTGGAACTGCTACGTTCCTCAGCAGGTTGTTGCTGCTGAACAAACAGTGAGTTGGTTGATGACAATAACTTTGTTTAGCTGAGCTATGAGAGGTCGAGCAGCTAAAGCCTTTCCTCTGCCTACATCCCCCAAAATGTTGCGCGGTTCTGGATCAGATTTCAATGAATTTATTAACATTCTSACAGTTTTTCTACTGATATTGATCAGATGTCTATTGTGATATATATATAATTGATTTGCCTAGCCCTAAAAAATGTCTATGATTTACTGCGGTCTGTTGCAGTGCTGATGTTGTGATGATGAGAGATTTGTGCAGCTCTGGATGTAAGTGTGAGAACAAACACCTGATGGAACAGACTGGATCAGAATCAGGATGATGTAAGTAACAGAAAAGCTGAAAAAAATAAAAAATAAAAAACCTGCAGCCCCACTCCACATTAACATCATTAAAAGGCCCATATTGCATAGGAATAGTGTCAACGTGACATCTGCTTTCATTTTTCCTCTGATCTTGTAGCTGTCATTTGCTGCACATTTATATTTTGAAGTTTTTAAGCACAACAACAGTTTTGTTGTGGAGTGACTTTATTTGTTGGGACAGTTGCTGTGTTTCCATTACAAATGTGCGCAAAACTTTGTCGATATTCTGTTAATGTCGAAAACACAGTTTCACAGCTGCAGTGTTTCCATTAAGTAATAAATGTTATTAAAGTCATGCGTGAATACGTTTGTTCTCATGATAAGTCATTACAAACATGGCGGTGATGGATGTAAACACATAGCATGTTGCTACCACGACACTAGCGCTCATCATCAGAGGAGACGTCGGCGTCTTTTATCGAGGCTTTCCAGAGACAAGTCCCTACTTGGGAGCGGCTACGTATGCTGTGTTTTTGGGAAATTGTAGTCGCTGAGTTTACTATTTTATACTACTTCTGTGATATTACTACTAGGGTTGGGCGATATTGGCAAAAAAATAGATCACGATTAATTGTGGTATTTAGCCGATAACGATTAATTTGACAATTAATGCCCTGGAGACCCTGGACACCCTCATGTCCTAGTCAAAAAAAATACCTATTTAGTGGGAAATATTTGCTCTTCGTAAAAATCTGTTCCAAATTGTGTCAAAATTACAGACCTCAGGCTATACATCAAACTTTAAATTGTGTTGATAGATAAATTACAGAACTTTTGTTTAAATGTTCGTCACGTTTTAAGTGGAGAGGAGCATCAAGCAGACTGACTAGACAAATATCCGGTCAGTTTGCCTGGTGGCATTAATCGTATTAATCATCAAGTGCCAAATAATAATCGATTAATGTTTTTCTGARGATTAATTGCACACGATACGATTATGTCCAACCTTACTACTACTTCTACTTCCTGTTATCTTCTTCGTCGTCATCTTTTTCACCAGTAGAAACAGACGGTTGTTGATCATGTGACTCCTGTGATGCGAAAAAAGTGTTTCCATTGAAGTTTTATGAAAAACACCAATTTCGATATGGCCGAAATACCACCTCATCCTAGCACAAAAACGTTTTGTCGAAAAACGTAATTTTTTCCGAAATTGACGTGTTTCCATTGAGCAAATTTATTTTCGAAATTCTAATTTGCGCATTTTCATGGTCAATGGAAATTCAGCTAATGACTCTCCATTTTGAGGAGGATCTAAYCACAAACAGCCTCTCAGACAGTTATACAAACTTAGAACTCCACACATTCCAGYCATATTTAGGATTGATAAAGCCTACTGGATGAAAAATGAAACTGCAGGATTTGTCTTGTCCTGGAAGACATAAWCTGCTACTGATGGCTTAGACCATCAGGGCCATTCAACTGGCAGTCTGACTTRCATTCGGCCCTGTGTAGCTCGTGTTGAGCACCAGGTTGTTTAATGAACACCATTGAGACAGGTGCTGGATCCTCTCTGTAGTGTCTCATCATTGTTTTTTATGAGACTCACTATGGTGGTGAAAAGAGCCGGACTGAGCACACAGCCCTGCGGTGTGCCTGTGGCCAGTTGGTGAGAAAGTGAAGACTTTYATAAAAACCTTAAGTGTTATGTCTTAACATTATGCCAGAAAATWATTTGGCCATGTGAGATGCAGCTGATGTGTTGCAAGTCACCCTGATGTGGGCCAACAATCCTCTTTTCACTTCCTCTCCTGCAAATCTGCAACATACACCAGAGGCCCAAACATACACAGGCATCATTTTCAAGTCTTGGATCCAAGCACACAAGTACCTAARATTTTCTAAACTACATATATCATATTAGTCAAATCAACTACTCAGTTTGAAACTGTCAGAAAGAAAAGACAGCAGCGGATGTATTTATGGAAGTACAGCACAGCTTGTGGTTCCAGTTCCTGCTAATCATTAACTGAGTGGAACAAGTATGGACATAATCACAGCCCACAAGTCAGCACTGGCTCTATCACCCCCTTTACTCTTACTCTTTTATTGCCATTTGTCTGTGNTCAGCTGTTTCCACTTTCCTGCCTCTCCCACGTGTATGGAGCCCTGCGTAGCTGCATGTGCCTTTCTGCTGCGTAGTTTAACATTGCGTTTATTTCCCTACGTTTCCTGGCAGCATTGAGATGGAAACAGTCTAGATTCAAATTTTTATTTATTTAATTTTTTGCAAATTTTGAAAGGTTCGATAAAAATTCACTCTACAACTGGATGGAAACACGACTATTGCAGTTTTGCAAAAAACATCAATTTTGATACGGCCGAAATACCACCTCATCCTAGCGCAAAAACATTTTGTTGAAAAACGTATTTTCTTCTAAATTGACGTGTTTCCAATGAGCAAATTTATTTTCAAAATTCTAATTTGTGCATTTTCCTGGTCAATGGAAACGCAGCTCAGAAGTGTGAACAGCTTGAACATGCTGTCAAATGGGAAATGTTTTTGCACTTTGCACAAGGTTTCTTTAGCTACGTTTGAGCTGAAGTCACAAACGGGACAAAAAGGTGCAAACGTTTGCAGCCCAACACATGCAGATCAGAGAAGCATGTTSCAGCCTGAACGTCACCATGTAATTGGTGGATTTCAGTTTATTACATTGAGAGGACGGCAAACTGTTTGTTTTATGGTGTGAAGAGATGCGGTGAATTAACTTCTTTAGAAGTTGTTCTTTAGATGTTCACTGAACCCTGCTTTGATCATCCTAATAAAAATCATCATACAGAGCTCTTACTGTAGATTTAAACTGTCTTCACAAAGCACGTCATTCATGTTYGAGTCATTTCATCTCACACCACGACTGTTTATTGTTAGTTGTCAGAGCGGTCTCAGATTACTGCTAATTCATGCAGAACATGTTYTTTTTTTTACCTGCGTGCCTTTGAAGTTTTTATTTTTGCAAACAGCAGAAAAAGAACTGATGACCTGTTGAATAAAAAACCTCCCTGCAGGACTGCCTGGTCARGACAGAAGATACAAGCTTTCTCTAATCAAATCAACAAATGTGTTTATTGTTTAAGTAAGACTCTGGGCATGTTTTTGATGAGGAGATAACATAACGTGATATAAAGCTCCAAAAAGTTGATTGTACATGTTGTTGTAATGTTTTGTTTCGAACAGTTTGCTCGGTGTACATTCCTTCTTGAATGACTCATCTATGACAATCCTGATCATTTTAAAACAGACCAAGTGTTTAAAAATGTTGGCCTGATGACTTTCTTTACCAACTGAAAAACAATGAACTTTCAGATCAACATGCAGACAAGTGTTTGCAGCTTTAAAGGGATCCATGATTAGTTGTAACATTAGACTTTATCTGATTAAACATTTATTTTAACTGTAAAATAAATACTGTAAAAATACTGTGGGATGTTTAGTTTGGTACATTTTTAAAAATATATTTTAACATGGACGGGGCCATTTTATTTCCACACAAAGCATTCTGGGTAAATGATGACGTGGATAGGTCCTCGGTGCGAGGCTGCTAGCGAGCTATATCCACCCTGAAGGTTAATCTTGGACAATATCCAACCCATTCTCACTCCCAAGTCGTCACATATTGACGCTTTTCCAAGGTTCCCTGTACGTCCGATTTAGACG